GCTCATTCAGAGGTACCCTCCGGCCGTCCTACAGTGGACTGACATGTTTTCACCGGTCGCGACTCCCGTGCACACGCGGCGCGTGCCGTGCACAACCCGTCCACGGCCGTCGCCCCAGCGTCAGCGTCCCGTCCACGGGCGCCGCCCAGCCGCCGCGTGACCGTGCGCGGCGTGTGCGCCGTGTCGGCAGACCGGGAGATCGCGGTGGCGGCGCCAGTTCTACCCGCCGAGCGTCCCCGGCCGGCCGCGGCGCCGTGTGGCAGTGGGCCGGCGACACGCCCTCCGAGTGGCACAGCTACGACATGGACGTCCAGTGTCTGGTGGAGACCGTCTGGTCCATGGTGGGTGCCTGGCCGGACAGTGATGGAGACCGTCTGGTCCATGGTGGGTGTCCGGTTGGCCAGTGATGAGTGGAGACCGTCTGGTCCATGGTGGGGCTGCCTGGCCGGACAGTGATGGAGACCGTCTGGGTCCATGGTGGGTGTCTGGTTGGCCAGTGATGGGTGGAGACCGTCTGGTCCATGGTGGGTGTCCGGCCGGCCAGTGATGAGTGGTAGCGATGCTGACACACGACGCTGGGGACCTGACCCGTGCGGGGTTGTAGGTTGCCATCGGTGTCGGTGGTTTCGCTTACCACAACGGACCGTGCGCTATCGCCGTTGGGTATATGACATCGCGTGTCAAGAGCTGTCCTTGTCTAACAGAATCAAAGATTGCGTGATGTCGTTGCCCGATGCGTCTGACGAACGGGTGCCTAGTGATTGCCGTCGAAGGGCATGGACTCCAGTGCTGGAAGTGTGGTGTTGGCCGCTGCAGGTGTCCGCCTTCTTCCCCAGGCAGGGGACCACGCCGTGTGCTGACCTGCTGTCTTCGCCTTTCTTGTTTACAGGGCGAGCAGACGGTTGACGTCAGTCACGTGTTCCCGCACCTGCCCTACATCATCAACTTCTGCAACCTGACGCAGGTGAAGAAGACGAGCGGGTACGTGCGCCAGCTGCGGCGCGCCCAGCAGGCCGCCTATCCGCTCACCAAGGTGCCGGCCGACGAGTTCGTCTTCCAGCCGCCCACGCTAGGTGAGCGCCCGCGTGGACCCCGCACTAGCGTCCTTGTGGGGCCGCCGGTCAGCAGAGGTGTCCCAGCGGCACCGGCCGGCCTCCACCGCCGAGGACTTGTCATCAGCATATAGCGGTGTAAGCCGGCATGTTGATTTCGTTTTGGTTACCCGTTTGCTTGTTTCGTTGCGTTCCGTTTTCGCCCTCGGTTGCTTCGGTTTGGCTGAGTTCCGCTGTGTCCCCTGTAGAGGAGATTCGTCGCCCGCCAGCCACCTCCAAGAAGAAGGACAAGAAACGCAAGGACAAGGACAGCAGCGGCACCAAGAAGCTGATGAAGCAGCTGACGCGGCTGTCCAGCCGGATCGCCGACTCGCTGGACCCGGACGCCGGGCCGGCGAGTCGGCCGAGTCGCCGCGAGAGCGGTGACTCGGCCTCGGTGGCGTCGGGCGGACGGCCGCCGGCGCCCGGCAGCCGGCCGCCGGCGCGCCCGCCCGACGGCCGCCGGCTCAGCGTCGCCACCATATCCACCTACATCAGCCAGAGCTCGCACAGCTCCGGCCGCCAGCGTGTGTCTGATGGACACCAACTACCGGGACGACGGTGAGCGCCGCTGTCGGAGCGCAGCTGCCGACGGCGGCGAGGCGCGCCGGCTGGTGACATTGGCGAGGCACGGCGCTGGCGACGGTGGGGGGGGGGGGGGGGGGGGGCGGTGCGGGGCAACAGTGGGTGCGGTGGGGACGGCGGAAACGGTGGGGAGGGCGGTGCGGGGCAACAGTGGTGGCGGTGGGGACGGCGGAAGCGGTGGCGACGGCGGAGGTGGCTGTGGCGTGGGACTACGGCAGTGGTGGAGATTGGGAATGCCACCATGAAGTTACTAAAATTATGCAAAAAAACAACAACAAACAAACAAGGAAAATAAACTGCTAAGAAATATGTAACGAATTATCATGGATATACAAGAAGGCATTTCCTTGCATGGGTATGGCTCGAATGATACGCGAAGTTACTGATAGCAGTACACTGAACCACGAGTATGCGCTTTTCGGTACAGTTAGCAGCGTGGGCGGTAGCCCGGCGATTAAGTGATCAGTTGTATGAAACAGTTGTCAGTAAGCGGTGGTCATTCACGTAGCCAGCGGGGCGAACCGGTGTAGATTGGCGGAGTTCGGCGCTGGGAGAGAGGGGGGGGGGGGGGTGGGGGGGGGGTCCGGTACCGCCCGGTGAGGCGCGGCAGGTCAACAGCGGGAGCAGGGCGTAAGGGACTCCGCTGTTGGAGTATGCACGTGGGCTGCAAGAAATACGATACTCTGTCCTTGCGACACCCTCCCGCTTGATGTTTTGTGCTAGATATGTGCGTTCGGTTTGTGTTTTGTTGCTGCTTTGGTGTTGTTACGTTAATATTGTGTTATGCATGGTGCGAAGGTACGCTTGTCGGTAGATCTTGGGTAGCCCGCCGCTGATGAAAAGTCCCGTTCGGTGCAGACGTGACGCTGGAGTAGCTACTGCTGATGTATACGCCGGGCGCAAAATGACTAGGGCAGTGGACGCGCCGTTAGATCCCGATCAACAGCAACAATGATGTCCCGTTATGTGATGACAGTGGACCGGCTGCTGCTGTACTCGTGTGCCTTGCAGTTGTGACGTTGGACCGTCTGCCGCGTATGTACACGTCCTGCACCGTGCAGAGGTGACGCTGGCCCAGCTGCTGCTGGTGCACACGTCCTGTGCCATGTAGACGTGACGCTTGCCCAGCTGCTGCTGGTGCACACGTCCTGTACCGTGTAGAGCTGACGCTGGCCCAGTTGCTGCTGATGCACACGTCCTGTACCGTGTAGAGGTGACTCTGGCCCAGCTGCTGCTGATGCACACGTCCTGTACCGTGTAGAGGTGACGCTGGACCAGCTGCTGCTGATGTACACGTCGGTGGTGCTGCCGATGGTGGGGGTCGCCTGCTGCATCTGCCGGTACATGCTGACCGAGCCGTCCAGCTACGGCGACGACCTGGTGATCCAGCTGAACGGCTGCCGCCACGCCATCCATCTGGACTGCCTGCGCGCCATGGTCGAGAGTACAAACCAGGTGGGTCGATGCTCCCCACGCCGCCCCTGGGACCGCCGCCGCCGGATGTCGTAGGGCACGGCCCCGCGCCGCGTCGGCTCGGTTCCAAACGGGAGCGCAGCGGAGATGGCCAGGCGGGTGGTCCTTGTTCAGGCGCCCGTCATGTGTAGCTGTGCGACCATCGGAGTTTTAAGGTGTCACATTCCTGTCTGGCGTGCGTTGCGGCCCGGGTCGCGGCTGGCTGCGAGCTGAACGCGGTGGCGGGCCGCCGGCGTGTGCCGCGCCGTGGAGACCCGACGGACTCGTGCGGCGGATGTTCCAGGTCCAGTACCTGCAGTGTCCCGCCTGCCAGTCCATATACGGGCGGAAGGTGGGGCAGCAGCCGCCGGGCAGGATGTCCACGCGCCGGCTGCCCATCCCGCTGCCCGGCTACGACTGTGATACCATCGAAATATCATACATGTAAGTCGAACACCAGACGCCTGTCGAGTGATACAGTGCGGTGGTGTTTGAGTGCAGCCCGGATCAGTGGCTGCCTTCCGTGTGTGATGTTTCTCCAGACGTTCCGATGTCGGCGTCCGTGCCGCCGGGCTTGGTCGGCTCTGCCAGCCCGTTCCGCTGAGGGGACAGCGTCGGACGTCCGCGCAGGCCCTCTGTGCGCTCGCGTGCTATCCCGGGCGGTGACTCACCTGGGTTCTGGCCTCCTGTGTTGCCCCTCTGTACGCTCGCGTGCTTTCCCGGACCGTGGGTGACCCTGGCCCTGACCTCCTATGCTGCCGCTGTGTACACTCGTGTGCTCTCCCGGGAGGTGGCTGACCTTGGCCGTGACCTCCTGTGCTGCTCCTCTGTACGCTCGCGCGGTCTCCCGGACGGTGGCCGGCCCTGGGGCCGCCTCCGCGTGTGTCAGACCGGCACGGCGACTGGACCGGTGCGATCTGTGACGGGACATGGCGTGACGCCCCCGGGGGCCGGCCCACAGGATCTCACCGGGCATCCAGGGACCGGAGCACCCGCACCCGGGCCGGCCGTACAAGGTGCGCGGCTTTCCGCGCATCTGCTACCTGCCCAGCACCACGCAGGGACGCAAGGTACGGCCGAGATGGGCGCGGCGGTGCGTGTCCGCTGACCAGCTGTGCCGGCCACTGCTAGCAGGCGGCATATTTGAACGCGATGCGTTCTGGTCCAAAATTGTCCTGGGTTGGGGTTAAACGTAATGCATTACGGCACATCTCATCACGTGGACCGCAGCTTTGACGTTTAATTTAATGTAAAGACAGGTCACGAACCGTAACAACCTCCGATGAATGGCTTCAGGGAGCGTTGGTGTAGCGCGCTTTGCCTTGCTAAATAAGTGTACTGGGTCTGTTGGACCAACAACTTAACCTTGACGGAGTTTGGCATAGGCGTGTGGAATCTTCAGGATTACTGCAGCAGGGCGGTGCGTATAAACGTGTCGTGGGCCTCAAGCCGATGGTCGGATTTGGACCGACCGACATCTGCGTATGATGGGGCTGGCCGCGCCTCCGACTGGCGCGTGCCGGAGCGTCGCCGACGGAGGCTCTGACCGGCGCGTGGTCTAGGGCGTGGCTGCCTGCGACTCCCAGTGAAGTTCATTGGGGCGCGTGTGCGCGCGCAGGTGCTCCGGCTGCTGGAGGAGGCGTGGCGGCGGCGGCTCATCTTCACCGTCGGCCCGTCGGCCACCACCGGCGAGCAGGACGTGGTCACCTGGAACGAGATCCACCACAAGACAGAGCTGCACGGCAACGACAGCGGCCACGGCTACCCCGACCCCGGCTACCTGGACAGGGTCACCGCCGAGCTGGCGCGCCATGGCGTCCAGTGAGCGTGGCGCCGGCGAGGCGGCCGTGACGTCACTGGGACGGCGCCGCGCGCGCCGGAGACGACCGGCGATTTCGTGCTGAGTAGGGGACGTTACGCCAGAGTCGTGCCATACGTGAGCGATTATGAACGGTTCGTGGTTGACAGAAGGCCGTGCTGTTTCGGCGCGGCCGTTTGAGGTACTCATTCGTGTTTGAATAAGAATGCAGGCGTTATTGATGTGTGCATGTTTTTATAGGCAATTACTCCGCCGTTACATACACTGTTATATCAAAATGTCTGGATAGAAAAAGGTAGGACATTTTGTGAAAACCTAACTTGGCAACAAATATGCATTGTCAAACCGCCCACATTTGTTGCGCTTTCGGTGACTTTTACGTTGATTATGCTTTCCGTAGCACGCACTCTGCATGGCCCGACTAGGCCGCCCGGCGTCATACTGCCGCTGTTTACAAGAACTGTACGGGGTTGGCACGGTCCCGAGACGTGTCATCCGGGGATCTGGTACAAAACTGACAACACCTCACAAAGGGAGTGGGTGTCCGTCAATGATGCATGCAAATGTCTGTTTGTCGCATTGGAAGTGTTGAAGTTAGCTGCCATTTGCACGTTTGCCACTCACCTCGGCTCGTTGAAATGCTGTAATATCACGGTCTGTTTACCTGTTGACAGCCAAGATGGAGTAAGGTTAACAAAGGAGAGGTACATTGTTGTAGAAGAAGCTTTTCCTGGGGCCAAATACATTGTATGAAATGTTCCCGCGACTGTTGTGCAGGGCAGCGTCGCGGCCATTGTTCCTAGCCATATTTGACAGTGAGCGGGGTTGCAGGGTCAGGGTGGCGAATCATGAGGGCGACGGCTCGTGGGAGCCTGAGGCGCGGTGGAACTTTGGGTACAGAAGCCATTTTGTCCTCGTCATTCAGTCCACAATAAGGATCCTTCTGAAGTTATGTCGTGTTAGCCACCTCGCCGTCCTTCCGCCCTTCGTCCACCTCACCGCCCTTTCGTCCTTAAGCCACCTCATTGTCCTTTTGTCCTTAAGCCACCTCACCGTCCTTCCGTCCTTAAGCAGGCTCACCGTCCCTCCCGATTTGTATTCAGCTCGCCCACATTTTGTATCTGCGTCGAATTCTGTGCGCCAGCGCGCAGCACGTGCCTGTGTGTCTGACGCGGCTGCAACCCTTGTAATAAAGCGACTCATCATGCTTCCACGTCTTCATTACATTCCTTGACTGCACTCCGGTTTGACTCCGTATGACGGGCTCTGTATTCTGTGTGGATTGGCGTGAAGTCGATATATCCAAACATCCGGGGTACGCAGGTTTGTGGGTGGCTCCATCTGGAGTCGGAATCGTCTCTGGAATCAACCAGTTTTGTTGAACCAGAATGGAATCGATTCCCATGCAATCGTGAGTCGAAGTCATTGTTGAATGAGCCACGTCCTCAGTGATTCGAGTAAAAAAGAAATGGAAGCAACAACGTCTTAATAGTCTGGCAGCTGTTGTGCACTGGATGTAACGCAGTCACATAACGGCATGCTAGACTAATGTGTGTAGTTATGCTTTTATGAAGGTCCAAATGCACGTCGTTATCCAACTTGTTCCGAAAGGAATCGACTAGATGGGAATTGATTCTGGAATCGAGTCACATGTGAGTAAAACTGAAGTATTGGGGTTACTCAAAGTTACGCTGCGCTGAGTTGGTGTCGGAATCGACACCGTATGGTGTGATTCCACTGGCCCCAAGCGCAGAGCTGGGAAAAACTACTAAACCAGCATCAGGTGAGGTGCTGGTAGTGTAATGAAGTCACAATACCGTCAATCCTGCCGGAACGCGCGTCGATGCCATGACCCGGGCATATGCGCGCACGTGCCATGACCCGGACATACGCGCGCACGTGCCGTGACCCGGACCTGCGCGCGCACGTGTCATGACCCGGACCTACGCGCGCACGTGCCGTGACCCATATATACGCGCGTCCATGCCATATCGGAGTGTCCCCGGATGGCGGCAACACAAGATCCTGCCCAGCAATCGCGCAGCAGAGCCTTGACAGGGGGAGATGGCGCAGGGTTGACAAGAGGCCCTTGATAGTGAAAAGGCCCTCCCAAAAGAAAGAAAATGGTCAGACGCCGGCATGCTTTTGGGACATACTTTTCCTTCTTTCCCTCTGCATCATGATGTTACTGGCGTGCGTCCGAGGCCGCCCCTGCTCGCGCCGCCAGTGCTGCTGCACCTTGGTACGCAGCTGCCCCGAATGGCGGTGTACTGCCTGGGGCGCCGCCCGCCGGGGTCGGCGCCGCCCGCTCGCCTCGCGGGTTAATACAGTTGGCGTCTCGCAGCGCTCGTGGCTGGTTTGGACAGACAGAACACGTAAGACTTGAATATGGGGCAGCCGCATTGAACCTAGAGTTAGCTTAAGCAAGCGTCAGCAGCACATTAATTTAAGCAGTGTGAGTTGCGAGGCAAGCCGAGATGCCTGGATTTCGTCCTGAGGAATTCAACTTCACATCGCCTGAGAGGTGGCCGACCTGGGTGATCGGTTCGTCCGCTACATACTGGCATCGGGACTACACAAAGAGGACGGTGACATTCAAGAAGCTGCGTTGATTTACAGTATGGGTCCGCAGGCTGAGCATATCGTACCAACATTAAGGCTTATTGCTGAGCAGAAGGAGGATTTTGAAGTTGTTGTCTCAAGGCTAGACGGGTACTTCATTCCGAAAAGGAACTTTATTTCAAAGCGTCACAACTTGGAGCTTAGATCTCAAAGCTCAAGCGAGACTAATGAATCGTACATCAGAGTTTGTTCTCTCTAGCTGAGTACTGCAGCTTCGCTGACGCTGATGAGCGTATCCGAGATCGTTTCATCTCAGGAATGTCTGACAGGGAGCTGTCCCGTAGAATTCAGCTGAAGTCACGAGAGGAGGAAGTGTCTGTAAATACCGTCATTTCGATGATGCGTAATGTCGAGATCGTGAACGGCCGTGACATCTCTGGTCCGCCTGACATCAGTAGGGTTTGTGCACCGGCGCAGCACAGGCAGCCGCGCCAACAGCACCAGCAGTACAGACGTCAACAGCAGCCTTCCACCGCGCAACGGCAACAGCATAGTCGGCGTGCCGACTTTTCAACAGCATACAGATACTGTGGAAGAGCACGTCATGTGTCTCCGAAAGATTGTCCCGCTAAGGGAAAAACATGCGACAACTGTCAGAAAATGGGTCATTTTGCATCTGTTTGTCGCTCCAACGGTGTCAGAGCGATTGAGCGGACAGAGCCCATTGAACAGCTATCGCCGCCCAACATTTTTGTTGGCAAAGTAGACAAAGTTTGCGCGCCATGGAGAGTTTCAGTCCTTCTAAATGGTCAACGAGTCGCTTTCAAAGTTGACCCTGGCGCTGATGTTAGCATTCTGACGCTGAAAACGTACAAGAAGCTAAAACTGCCGCCGCTTCAACATGCTTCAAATACTCTGACAAGTGTTGGTAGCGTGCTAAAAGTAGAAGGAAAGATGCACGAAACACTCATGTTCAAGAACAAAACCGAGCCTGAAGTGTTTTACGTTGTTGACTCCGCTGATGATCTCCTCTCCAGGTCTGTTTGCTCGCGCCTGGGCGTACTGAGGTTCACAGGTGAAGTCAACGAAGACGTCTTCGGGGAGACAGGCCTCCTGAAGACAGCACCGGTCAGCATTCAGCTCCGTGAAGATGCTGTTCCAGTCGCCCTTGCCACTGCAAGAAACATCCCGCTGCCGCTGATGAAGCCAGTGGAAGAGGAGCTGAATAAGATGGAGCATCACGGCATCATCACGAAGGAGACTGAGCCAACGGACTGGGTCTCTGCGCTGGTCCCCGTCCCGAAGCCGAAGAGCAGCGGTGTCCGCATCACGGTTGACTACAAGAGGCTCAACCAGTCTGTGAAGCGACAGGTGTTCCCGATCCCTACTCTGGAGCATCTGACCTCCATGCTGAGTGGTGCGACGCTCTTCACCAAGCTGGACGCCTCTTCCGGTTTCTACCAGATCCCGCTGGACGAGGCGAGCTCCAAGATGACCACGTTCATCACTCCGTTCGGCAGGAAGAGGTTCCTGCGACTGCCGATGGGGATCTCGCTCGCACCGGAGTGCTTCCAGCGGAAGATGGAGGAGATACTGGACGGACTGCCCAGAGTCATCGTCTACATGGACGACACCGTGGTGTTCGGAGATGCTGCCAGTCACGATGCACGTCTCGAAGCTGTCATCAGGAGGATCCACGAGTCCGGCCTCAAGCTGAACAGGAAAAACGTGTGAGTTCCGGAAGAACGAGGTCAAGTTTTTGGGGATGAAGATCAGCAAGAACGGCATTAGCATGGACGAAGAGAAGCTCGAAGCGATCCAGCAGCTCCAACCGCCAAAGAATGACAATGAACTAAGGTCTCTGCTCGGAGTAATCAACTTCCTGGTTCGGTTCATTCCACACATCCAGGAGTGCTTGAGACCACTGAACGAACTTCTGAGGAAGAACGTAGCATGGATCTGGACACCACAGCAGCAGCAGGCGCTGGATGACGTGAAAGCAGCCGACACTTCACTCCAGTTCTGGCGTTCTACGATCCAGCACGAGAGACGGTGGTCAGCGCCGACGCCAGCAGTTTCGGCATCGGAGGATGTGTTCTCCAGAAGCACGGCTCCGTCTTCAAACCCGTCGCGTTCTGCAGCAGAAGCCTAACTGACACCGAGACCAGATGGGCCCAGATCGAGAAGGAACTACTCTCTGCGACGTGGACGTGCGAGAAAATGCACATGTTCCTCTCCGGACTGCCGTCTTTCGAGCTGCATCTGGACCACAAGCCTCTGATCCCGCTGATTAACACGAAAAATCTCGTGGATGCGCCGATCAGATGCCAGCGCATGCTCATGCGCTTGATGCGATACAACGCCACAGCGGTCTTCGTTCCAGGGAAGCAGCACCTGGTGCCCGACTTCCTTTCACGTCACCCGCTCCAGAAGCAGGATGAAATCGGCTCTGTGCCTCAAGAAGACATATATGGATTCTGCGAGAGAATCTTCAGCGATCTTCCCGCCACACCGCAGCGTCTGGTGGAGATCAGCAAGGCGCAGCAAGCAGACGAACCCGTACAACGCGTAGTTCAGCAGACTCTCTCTGGCTGGAAGGAGGGAGCGAAGCATCCCGACCTGCTGGACTACTTCGCCTCTCGCGGAGAGATGAGCGTTCTGCACCTAACGTGTGGTACACTGCTGACGCACAGGCGACGCATCGTCATCCCTCCGAGTCTGCGAGATGAAGTGCTCACTCGACTACATGATGACGGACACTTCGGTCTAAATAAGTGTCGCCAGAGGGCAGCAGTATCGATCTGGTGGTCTCAACTCAGCATCGACCTGAAGCGTCATATCGAGAGCTGCTCGTTCTGTCAGGTGAACTCGCCCGCCCAGCACGCTGAGCCACTAGTGACAGCCCCAACGTCATCAAGACCGTGGACGCACGTTGCAGCAGACGTCTTCCACTTCAACGACTGCAACTGGCTCGTCACGGTGGACATCTTCAGCAGGTATCTGGAGATACAACGCCTCCCGAGTCTCACCAGCAGCGCAGTCATCGAGCGTCTGAAACGCTTGTTTTCCCGCTTGGGGATACCAGACCTCGTGACAACAGACGGAGGAACGCGGTTCACTTCAAGCTCGTTCGCCAACTTTACAGCGTCCTACGGCTTCACAAACCGTATCACAGACCCGCACACACCGTCTTCCAA